TACATAAATAGCTTGTAGTCTTCGCATGGCATATTTTGTGACATATCATAAAGGGATAAGTTGACATTAATATGCCTAGCCATGATGTCAAGCTGCTTATGTACCCTCAATTTAAGGCACTCAAAAAAGCGTTTTATGTATTCCCACCTTTACACGTCTGTTTTCTATCATTTTTTTCAATATATATTTATTGATATTCATATTTTATATACAAAAAATGTATCATGATCCACATATACATTAATTTGACTCAAAAATAAATATGTCGCGTCTAAATGTGTATTTAAGCCTCTCTTGTTTCTCTCTTCAAAAAACCCCAGCAAATATTACAAAATCATTTTGTGTGCCTTCAAAATAAATTATATTAATTGTTTTTGATTGAACTGTATCATCAAATTGGGATTTATTGAAATGAAATTGCCTATGGTGGTGGTGTTGAAGATGATGATGATGATGTTTGCTGTGGCGGTTCTTCCATGTCTGTCTGGCTTCAATTAGAATCAATTAGTCCATAACAAATATTTTTTTAAAGAAATGACAAAAAAAAAAACAGCTTGGAAACAATCGAAAAGTATTATGATAAACTGGAGTATGCGTAAAAGCAAGCATGCGTTTAATTGTCATCGTTTAAAAAAGAAAAATGTTGTTCAACTTTTCTATTAATTTTATGGATTTTATGTGGGCTCCTAATAAGCCTTTTATGTTCAACGATAATAATGATGTTTGTATATTCTTTTAGTTATTGTTGATATTTGTTATCAAAAATATGGATGCTACATTTTTTATTAACGCCTATAATATTAAAGCTAAAGTTTCTAAAGAGTAAAGGTGAGAATACATAAAGCGCTTAATTGGCTGGCTTCATTTCTCACCTCTAGTCAACTTTTATATTATTTTCTGGCTTTGTATTTGACATTTCATTTTGACGTTTGATAAAGAGTAAAGGTGAGAATACATAAAGCGCTTAATTGGCTGGCTTCATTTCTCACCTCTAGTCAACTTTTATATTATTTTCTGGCTTTGTATTTGACATTTCATTTTGACGTTTGATTTGACAATTGAAATTGATTTGAAACAAAACATGTGATCAATTATAAAAACATAGTTTACTTTCGCTTTATGGTAGAAGAATACAAATTTTCAAATGTCAAATTTTTTTAATTTTTTTTTTTTTAATTAGTAGATTTTTATAAGTGTTCTTATACGACACCAATCGGAGGTTGTTATGATATGAATTTTTCAACAATTTTTACAAATTTAAATAATTTTTCATTCAAAATTTTCATCTTCTAAATTGGTTTGACCGAACTTCTAATACCCTTCACCATTAGGTAAGGAAACATTTATATGCAAAAGTATCTGGATTCAAACGTGTTCTACTTTAAACGACGAACTCCAGCAAGATCAGTAGGAGAATAGATGAAGCCGTTATATGTGGCCATACTAAAATGAGAGCCTAAATAGACAATTTTAAACTCCTACGATTGTAACCTATTGCGAGTGTTAATTACGAAATTATATATTATTTCGTAGGTAAATGTGACTAGGATGACTAGGACCACTATGGACAATTTTTTGACGCCGGTTGTAGAAATGTGGAAATGTGGCTAAAATCGTCAAAATGTCGAATATTCTATGAAACCGTTATATGTGCGCTATAGAAAAACCTGGACCTAGATATTCAATGTTCTGCCACTGGACCTAGAACCAATTACGAACAACAAATACCAATTTTTAGACAAATCCGTAGAAAAATGTGGGTAAAACCATCAAAATACCGAATATCGGAAATTACTGTTATACGGGGACTATAAGAAAATGTTTACTTATATGTACAATGTTCCTCCATCGGGTGGGGGCTATACGAAAACGTGGACCTATATATACAAAGTTTTGCTACCGGAGCTAGAACCCATAAGGAGCTACAAATTCAAAATTTTAGACAAATCCGTGAAAAAATGTGGCTAAAACCATAAAAATAACGAATGTCGGGAGGTATATGAGGGCTATACGAAAACGTGGACCTATATAACCAATCATCAAGATACCGAATATCGGGATGCACTGTAATATGGGGGCTATTTCAAAACGTGGACCGATATATCTCATATCTCAATACCAAGCCTAGGGCCAAAATCGAACTAAGTCAACCTGAACTCCTTTGTTCTTCTATGAAAAAGCTAGCCGACGATTTAAGCCAGTCAAAAAAGAGTTTTAAGGTGGGAATACATAAAGCCCCTATCTGGCTGGCTTAAGTCATCGGCTGGCTTCTACGGAAATGAACAAAGGAGCCTAGGGCCAAAATCGAACTAATTCAACCTAAAACCCCTTTGTTCATCTATGAAGAAGCCAGCCGATGATTTAAGCCAGCCAAATATGCGCTTTAAGTCTTCGGCTGACTTCTATGTAAACGAATGAAAGAGCGTAGGGTAAGCATCTATAAATTATGGGCCGAAATTGAAGTCAACCTAAGGCTGCAAATACATAAAAAGCTTGAAGTCATGGCTAGGCATATTAATGCCAAATTATAATGAAAAACGACGACAGGATTTTAGTGCGGCTCTGTAATTCCTTTGTGAAATGTCACAAAATAGGCCGTGCCATGACTTCAAGCTTCTTATGTACTTAGCCCTTAAGACTCCTTTGTTCTTTTAAGCCAGTAAAAAAGCTCTTAGGCTGAGAATACATAAAACGCTTTTGTGACGGCTGGCTTCTTCGGAAAAGAACAACGGAGAGTGGGTCCAAAATCGAACTAATTCAACCTAAAACTCCTTTTTTCCTCTACGAAAAAGCCAGCCGATGACTTAGCCAGCCTTAAGAGAATATTAAAATTGCATTTTTCATAATTTTTACAATATATTTCAACTTTTTTAAGCACGAATTTCTAAGCGATATTGGCCTCTTGCCCTAGAACGCCTTTTTTGCTCAGCATTGATTTAAACGAATAACTAATGCAAACTTAAATGGGCGCCTCGTAATTCCAATACTTATAATCGGCCAAAGTACGGTTCTATTTTTATGTTTAAATTGTTGACCAGCATCCATAGTTCACTTAGTGGGGTTGGTCAAACACACGTCATACGAGATAACGAGGAGGATGTGTGTTGAAATTTTACTCGTTTTGCAAAATTTTCGCGAACAAGTCATTTAAACTTAGTCATAGCTCATCCACCCTCTTTTATGACTCATTCTTTTCTCCATCCTAGAAGCATCAGATTACATAGGAAATATACATACTAATAAACATATTCATGACTCCTGTTTATCCCAGCTCTCAGTGATAGACCGTTGTTCAGTTACCGTTATGTTGTTTCACTTCCTTTCATAACAGACGTTAATTGTGTGCTCTCAACTAACATGTTTTGAGAGAGACAGAGAGTGAGGGAGAGACTACAATGTGAAGAGTTTTTCAAACAGTGTGAGTGCCGCGCTAGAGATGAAAAATCCACTTGGTAATATGCACTTAGTTCAAGCCCTAATTAGATGTCAAAAATGAAAATTTAACTAAATTAACCCAAAACTCTCTTGTTCTATTACGAAGAAGTCAGCTGATGGTTTAAGGCAGTCTAAAAACGTTTAATGTGTTCTCACCTTAATTAACAAAAAATGCAGAGCTGGATATTTTTATTTGACTTGACCTCCGAAAATCACGTAACCATTTTCAAATAAATATAGATTTATGGTACAATAACTAAAGGTTGAACACCTTATTTTTATTTGAGGCTCCTATTCTGTTAAAGCATATGCAGTTTGTTTAAAATTTTGGTATGAAACGATATTGTCAGTTTATTTTGGATTCAATTTTATAGAATAACCCCATTTCCACAATCATTGGTCCGTTCGAGAACTGCGAGAATATAAAAAAGTTTATTACGATAATCGATTTTCCCTTTATGATATGGAAAAAACTGCAAAAATAGTAGATTTTTGCAGGTCCTGGGGCAGAGCATATATGACTTAAAAACAAAGTTAAAAAGCAGTAAGTTCGGCCGGGCCGAACTTTAAATACCCTCCACCATTTGGAACGAATTTGGAAATTTTCAAAAAATAAAATCTTTAAAAAATTCTGTTAAAATTTTTAAAATACCGCTAAAATCATCAAAATACCGAATATCGGGAGGTACCGTTATATGGGGGCTATACCGAAACGTGGACCTACATGGCCCATTTTCTATACGAAAAGTCCTGCAGACATAACATATATTTAAGCAAAATTATCAATCTACTTCAATTCGTTCGGAAGCTAGAGTGATTCCCACAGACGGACAGACATTGCTAAATCGACACAGAATTTTATGCCGATCAAGAATATATATGAATATATGAATATATATGTATTACAAACGGAATGACGAACTTAATATACCCTATGGTGGAGGGTATAAAAAGGGTATACCTATTGTATATCAAGAAATGGAATAAAATCATAAAACGTCATATCGATTTTGACACTAGTATTACTATAAAGTCAAATTAGCTGGGACTTGCTGTTACCCATAATAATTATACCATGGATTTTTTCATTTATTGATTTTACAAAATATTTAGTTTTTATTTTTCAAAACAGTAAATATATTCACAAAATTGGCAGAAGTTTGACATATCAATGCTCCCAAGCGTTGATGCATCTACCTGTATTCTTCTGCCATGAAAAAAATCATAAAGTATATTTACCCTACAAAAAGTTCTAACATAAACATGGCACTACTATTTATACATAGTAAACTTCGCAACTAGTCCCTAACTAGTACCATAAACACAAGGGTTGTTGATTCTTGCCCTCTAAAATAACTCTCTCCACTTTCTTGCTGTTAAAAAATGTAGTTGTTTGTTCTCATCTTATCTCACTAACTTGCTATGCTCTTCAAATAAAAATTGCCTCTCTCTCTCTGAGAGTGTATTAATGCACACCAAAAGCCGGCAATTGTTAAAAAAGAAACGTTAACTTAACCAAAATCCACAAATTGTTGTTAATTAAATATTACCACAAATACAAATGGGTCATGCATCTCACAGCTCACACGAAAAATAGGTCTCTTGGTCTTGCTGATAGCAATGAAAGAATTTGGCTGGTTTTGTGTACCTACATTGTTCTTGTTCCACAATACCTACATCAAGAAGACGAAATAAAAACTCTGGCGAGATACGTACGACGGACGTGCAGCAGCAAATACATTCGATAAATGTTGGTGACAACCGCAACGGCTACGACGGCTACGGCGACGGCGGCGAGATACATTTGGTATTTACAAAAAAAATTATTTTAAAAATTCTTAAAATATGAGCATTGGAATCAGTTGCCTGCGGTACGTCAGTTGAGCGAGAAGAGACGAGAATTTTGGTTTTAAGAAGCGAGTGTTTCGGACAAATCGTCTTTGTTTCAGATATAATAAAACAAAAAAACATTAAAAAGTGAAATAAAAATAAATTTGTTCACAGCGCATTCAATTTTTTGATATAAAACAAAATAAATTAAATAAAAAATTGGTCCACATCAAAAAAAAAAAAAAAAAAAAAAAATAGAACACCAGATTCCCATAAGCACGTGAATGTGAATGATTGAAAACAACAATAACAACATATGTAGCTATTTTGATATTTAAACAAACGCATTGATTAATCTAAACAAAACCCAATGAACTATGAACACAAGTTATCGCCAAGCCATCGGGTCTGACGAAATGCTGATATTGGCTTCAAAGTGAATGAATTGCTGTTTATAGGCGACACCCATACAACCACCCGGCTTTATAGGAGGGAGAAAAACGTACTCTAGGCCAGATAACATAACATAGTGCGAAATTGACAAGTTACTAGTCAAAAACGATTTAAAAAAAAAAGAAAACACCAACAACTGTAAACTCCATATACAGATTACTTACACCCCACACAGAGAAGGGTAGAAAGGAAGAGAGAGAGACAGAGAGCAGAGGAAATAAAACAAACAACCCACCACCACCACGGCCAAAATATAAACCAGGCATGTTCATTGCTGGGCGTTCTTGTAATAACAAATGACAAGTGCTCTCTCTCTTCATTTATGGTTGCAATTGTCCAGAGAGTCTCCCATCAATGCCAACTCTGTTATTGTGGGCATCACTGACATAAACAAACGTTTCCCATTGACAAAGAGCATACCCCAGCAATTTAACATAACAAGAGAGAAAACGGGTGTGAGAGAAAGAGGGAGACGTACAAACAGACCCAGCCGTTGTTGTAAACAGTACTTGTTGGTCTGTCAAAGGTTTTAATTCATTCATCTTCAGTTACTGCTGCTGCTGCAACACAACACAAAGAAGTAACCCCTTTTTTCTCTTCCAACCCAACATCTCATCTCATCATGGGCTACGATGAGGTCCTCACCCATCTGGGCGATTTCGGACGATATCAGAAAATTATCTATTTTCTAATCTGTCTAACATCCATCACCTGTGCCTTTCACAAGTTGGCCGGGGTCTTCCTGCTGGCCAAACCCGATTTCCGTTGCGTACTGCCGTTTGAAAATGCCAGCGATGTCCAGTACAACGACTTGCCGCCCGACCAATGGCATTTGGCCTATCCCAAGGACTTGTTGGGTGTGAAATATGAAACATGTTCGTATTATGATATCAACTATACCGAGGAATATCTAAGCGGCAGCGAAGCCTATACGGCCAATGGCACCACCCAGTGCTCGCATTATGTTTACGACAAGACGAAATATCTCAACAGTGCTGTGACCGAGTGGGACATGGTGTGCAGCCGTAATTTCCTGCGTGCAACTAGTGATGCCCTGTTTATGTTGGGCGTTTTGGTGGGCAGCATTGTCTTTGGCCAGCTGTCGGATAAATATGGCCGTAAGCCAATATTTTTTGCCTCATTGGTTATACAGGTGGTGTTTGGAGTACTGGCTGGTGTGGCGCCCGAATATCTGACCTACACCACCTCACGTTTCATAATAGGGGCCACCACCTCGGGTGTGTTTCTGGTGGCCTATGTCATTGCCATGGAAATGGTGGGTCCGAGTATGCGTCTCTTTGCCGGGATTTTTGTGATGATGTTCTTCTCCGTGGGATTCATGTTGACAGCGGCATTTGTATATTTTGTCCATGACTGGCGTTGGCTGCAAATTGCCCTTACCCTACCGGGTTTGCTGTTTATGTGCTACTATTGGATCATACCGGAGTCGGCTCGTTGGTTGCTATCGAAAAATCGCAAAGAGGCAGCCATTGCCAATATCCAAAAGGCTGCCCGTTTCAATAAGGTGGATATTTCGGCGGATATGCTCAATCAATTGTTGGACGACAATGCCAATGAACAAAAGAAACCGGAAACGGAAGCGGATGACACAAAGCAACCCAGTGTATGGGACCTATTACGTTATCCCAATTTGAGGAGGAAAACCCTACTGATTTTCTTTGATTGGTTTGTCAATAGTGGGACGTATTATGGCCTCTCCTGGAATACCAATGATTTGGGTTCCAATGCCCTTTTGAATTTTGTTATTTCTGGAGCTGTGGAAATTCCCGCCTATTTATTCTTGCTGTTTACCCTAAACAGATGGGGTCGCCGCACCATTCTGTGTGGCTGTATGTTGGTGGCCGGAGTGGGTTTGCTGATTACCATAGCCATACCCTCCAATATGAACTGGATGTTAATTACCTGTGCCATGATAGGAAAATTGGCCATTACAGCTTCGTATGGTACCATTTATATATTCTCTGCTGAACAATTCCCCACCGTGGTGAGAAATGTGGGTTTGGGCGCCGCCTCAATGGTGGCTCGCATTGGTGGCATTTTGGCGCCATTCTTTAATATGTTGGGAGAGATATGGAAACCCTTGCCGCTGATTATATTTGGGGCAATGGCCTTTGTGGGCGGCCTACTCTCTCTGCTGCTGCCCGAGACACACAACAAGCCAACGCTGGAGACCATAGCAGATGGTGAGGAATTTGGCAAAGCTACCAAGGCCCAGCAATACTTGGTGGAAGAGGGTAAAGAAATGAAGAACTTTGAAAAGGCCGAAACATTGCCGCTGAACGCTGTGGCGTCAATCACCAGCAAGTCGGAAGAGGCGGCCAATTCGGAAAATAATCATCATCAGCAGCAGCAGCAAAAAGAACAACCAAATGAAAAATATTAAATATTTTAGTTTAAATATTATTATATACAAACAAAAAACAAAAACTTTTAGTTAAGTAGTACTTAATTTAGCTGAGCTTTTTTATGCAAGCATTTCTTATGAATTTGTTTAAGTTTTACCACCTATTTACACAGTATAACCTCTAAAGGGCGAATGTTTATTTTTTTGGAAATTTAATGCTTTTTTGAACATTTTTGCAAAGTCATTTTTATATATGTGTAGAAAAAAGTATTTCAATATTATTTTTATTATTATTACTGCATTTAATACAAGCTTTCAATATTAAGCCTTTATTAAAAAAAAAAAAAATAAACCAAATAAATATTTATTTCATTTTTTTGTTATTAATCGCTTAACAAAAGTCTACGTGTTTTAAGCCAACACAAGTTGATGGTACGGTGGGTGTCAAAATAAATCCAATACGATTTTCGCCTCTTAACAAAGGCCTTCAAACACTTGTTTCTACCAATTTTTTTTATCAGAAAATAGTTCAAAGACATTAAGAAATTACTTCAATTTAAAATTTATTGTTCTGTCTTTGTTCGACATGTAAACTAGAATGACATGGACATAATGGAAGTGAATCTTATCAGCTCACAGTTTGTCAAGTTTACATGCTGCAATTAAAGCCAAGTGTTTTAGAGGGCAATAATTTTATTTTTATCTATTTTCCAGCGCAAGCAAACTTTGTCTGCAATCAGAAAATAGCATGATATTCTAGGAACAAGAAACATGAAATAAAAGATACTTTTCTTTTTAAGAGGAAATTGCCGATCATTTAATGCATTTCAAAGGGGACAAATTGTAATAGTGCAATAATGAATGGAATTGTATTTTTAAGAAAATGCCGTGCAGCCAAACTTCAACTGTTGATTCCGTAGTACTTAGCTTGAACCCTTAACTTCTTAAGGTTCAGCTACCATGGATATACCCAGAAAAGCATTTAGAGACCATTTGTGGGTGTCAGCTAGAAAAAACCTAAATTCCATACAAAAATGTCAGAATAGTAAGCATTTCGGGGGGTATCGCAGTCTGGTATTTGTGGCGCCCAACATGTCTACTGCATTAGGATAACTCTATCAACGTAAAACAGCATTTCTAGTCTTATATTCTGGTTTAGGTTGGAACCCTGGATCTTCCTTGAATCTTACATAGCGCTGGTGCCCAAGAAATTATACTCCTTGTCTAGACAGGCTGCTGCATACGGCTTGGAACTGTGTGCGGTGGCGCCCAACATGTCTACTGCATTAGGATAACTCTATCAACGTAAAACAGCATCTCTAGCCTTATATTCTTGTTTAGGTTAGAACCCTTGATCTTCCTTGAATCGTACATAGCGCTGGCGCCCAACAAGTTATACTCCTTCTCTAGCCAGGCTGCTGCATCCAGCTTGGAACTGTGTGCAATAAACTACGCAGGCGTAAAAAAATCTATCTATAATTAGACAACTCTTCCGTTGTAATTTTGGTTCTTCAGTCTATTATAGGGTCCTTGATCCCTCGTCTGCAATGCACTCCGATGGCGCCCAACAAGTCCAGTTTATTCAGACGAATTCTCCTTGTCCCTCATTTATATTTATATTGTATTCACTAATCTGACACTATTACTAGGACGCCCAAAAAATCTCCTCCACTTGGACAACGTAACTGCGCTAAACAGGGCCTCTAAGCTGGTATTGGCCCCCACAAATCTCGGTTACACATACAACTGTTCTAAAGGTGAAAATACATAAAACGATAGGAAAAGGAGCGTAGGGTCAAAATCAAACTAAGTCAACCTATAACTCCTTTGTTCCTCTACGAAGAAGTTATGTATTCTCACCTTAATATCTAAGAACTTCCCTAGTCTCCTATTCCAGTTAGCCTACTCCTTACCTAGTTTTTTATACCCATAGTCATTTGCCTAGAGAGGTTTCAGACCCTACGGCTCTTTGGACCAAATCCGTTTCAGGACCAAATCCGTTTCAGGACATTTGGAGTCTATCTAGTGATGTCCGATCGTCTGTCTGGCTGGTGCTGGCACGATAACTCTCGAAGCAAGTATCTCATTTGATCCAAAATTAGTACATCGTTATATTATTTTTAAACTTAGATCGAGTTCGGAGATTCGCAATATCGGTCCCCTCCTTCTGGTAACACTCCCACAAAAGGTCGAAATTTTCAAAAAAAAAAAAAAAAATCCTAATATTTGCATCAGTGCTAGGTCTCATGCGAAAATGAACAATGTCGGTCTACTCCATCAGGTACCTCCCTCACAAAGGGTCAAAATTTGGAATAACCATTAGGAATATAAAACGCGAAATGAGCATTCGAGTACTTTCAAACTCGGCACATTCCAATACTTCTATCAGCACAAGAAGTGTTGTGAAGATGGACCATATCGCACCACTCCTTCTGGTACCAAATCTCCCTCTTCGATTGTCAATTCAATTCTGGATCCTGCTCGAAGGATCAATGTTTTTAATATTGAGAATAGAATCCAATCTCCCTCTTCGATTGTCAATTCTATTTTGGATCCTGCTCGGAGGATCAATGTTTAAATGAGAAAAGAGTTCAATCTTCTCTTCTATTGTCAACTCTATTCTCTGTTCGGCTCGACTTGAGCAATGTTTAGTGAGAACGGAATACAACCGCTCCGCTTGGGTTTTTATTTAAAAATATGTTCCTTAAGTACTACTGAATCTAATCTAACTTAAACAAATCGCAGCCACACACTTATTCTTATATATTCTAATATTGAATGGAGAACATTGCAAGGTTGTTTGTCATTTCATTCAAATGGTCTTGTACATCTACTGAGCCCATCGATATCACATTATCGTAGGCGTCAGCGCACAAGATCACCGAATTGTTCACATATGATATTTTATGGCGGTTGGGAAATATGTAGTTTTAAAATATTTATTGTTTATTGCTAGGTTTTCCCAGCGCCTCGACCGCACTCAAAAGTATGTACCATGGTAGAAGAATATAGGTAGACGCGTCGACACAGCTGCAGGGACAATGAACTGTCAAACCAATTTTGGAATTGAAATTCTTGAATGAAAAATTATTTAAATTTGTAAAAATTGTTGAAAAACGCGAATTATAATAGGCTCCGAATGACGTAGTATAAGAAAACATATAAAAATCTACTTCTACTTGAAAAAATATAATTTTTTTTGACATATCAATGCTCCCAAGCGTTGATGCATCTACATGTATTCTTCTGCCATGGTATGTACAAAGTATTTTGTACAGCAAGTCAAAATATATTTAAATGACCGCAAATTGGCTGAGGGTATGCAGCTGTCGACAATACCGACTGATTTCATTTAACTTGTTTCTTGCTGCTTTCAGTGCTTCAGCACCTATTTTTCTGTAGGCAATTACTCTACTGTGGCGCCCAACATGTCTAGTTTACACAGACTACTTCCCTAGTCCCTTGTTCTTGCAGGGATTGTTGCCGTTGATCTTCCTTGATTGCACTGGGCCCCAATATGTCCGTGGCGCCCAACATGTCTCATTTATTGTGGCAACTCTTAATGAACTACTTTGCACCGTATGTTATATACGACAAAAAAAAATCTAGCCGTCCCACCTCATTATATCACTACACTTGATATTGTAGTTAAATTGAATGTATATGTCAATTCATAATCGAATCGCATAATAAAGATAAACCCCAAATCATGTAATTATCAATGAGTTACGAGAGCTAACCAGAAATCAGCACTTACCAACAGAGGCAAAACAAAAAGCGCGCTAAACTATTTTCGAAAGATACTAATCGTTTGGAGATATTTTAACAAAATCTCCAACCAAATAGTGGTTGTTTTATCGCATGATCTTTCCAATGGATACACGTGCGTTTCAAATTGTTGTTAAATTTGGAAGTTTCATATGTACATACATACACACACACATACTACATACATACAAATGTAGATAAATTCGGTGGGGTCGTGTTTTTGCATGGGATCGCTACATACCAACATAAATACACCAACAAACAAGTCGTATGATTTTTCATTTGTTTTTTTGTTATTCTCTCTCCTTCTCTGTTTGAAAAATGTAATATTCTCCCTTGGTTCACTGTTATTTTCGAGGAAGAGACATATGAAATTTCTCAAATAAATGATGTTCTGAAAAGAGAAAAAGGTAGAGAGAGAGCGCATTTTTTGGTAGAATGTATAATTGAGAGAAAAACTAACATTTGGTCGGTTCAGTGGGCCCGAATAACAACCATAATAAATCAGTTGATCGTAAGCTCTTTACACAGTCGGTAGCTAGTTTTAGCGGTGCGGCGTTTACACCATCTAAGTAATAACATCCAGATTTTTTTTGTTTCTAAACTGATAACAAGTAAATAGAACTACTACTGTGTGGTTCAGTAGCATTGCAACTTTGATTTCAAACTCGGTCTACTCTTGTTTCTGTGGTCATTCACCTATGCATTTAGCCTGAGAAATAGTGCCAAGAAGATAAAAAAGTGGGGGACAGTGAGCAAAATAATCTTAGACATTGTTACGTATAAAATTCATTTCTCCCCAAGATTCACGGTCATTTGTGGATCAAGGCTACTACGCCAGCCAAACATTGTGTGTTCGGTTGTTTTTTGTTGTTGTTGTGTGAAAAGTTTGTTGCCGAAATCGTAAAATGTGTTCATTTCTACCACGTCACAGGTAGCCAGTCGGCCAGCCACCAATAGAGTGCGGTTCTACCAAAAACTCGTCATTAACGTCAGCGTCAACGTTTTTAATGAATTAACATGAGTTGTTTGTTGGGCAGGCAAACATTGTTACCGGGAGGAAATTCAATGGAAATTTGTACCCGTAAAAGGAAAAAAAGAAGAAGAACTAACTGGAAGTCATGTTTTGTTTTGCTGCTTGTGAATAAAAGTAGCGAACTTAACAAGAAAAATAAATGTATTTCAGAAAACATGACTACATTTAGATCTCCTGTGGTGCGTAACGCCGATTGGCTTGGTAACGAGTTTATATTTTAGTTACTATGTTTGCAACGCGCTGTTCATTTGAAACCTCTTGAAGTCTGAACAAGTCGATTTCGCGATAAACATCTGCTGATATAGTTCATTGCCGTCTAGAACATATGTTTGTGAATATAATTCTTCCATTATTAAAATCGGTGCCACCCGGTCTAGAACTGGTATTGTAAATAAGGGCCCAATATTCGGCATAGCCAGGCAGAAGTTTTAACTATTTTGTATAAAGTAAGAATACTTAAAACGCTTTTCTGACTGGCTTAAATAATCAGCTGGATTCTTCGGAAAATAACAAAGGAGCATAGGGCCAAAATCGAA